CTGGTCAAAGTTGCTTATAAGCCCCTTGAAGAAAATGATGGAGGAGTGAACACGGCCTTTCCTGGCCTATTCCAAAGTCTAGACTTTGCCGAGACCAAGCCAAGCCTGTTTCGTCCACTGTGCTCCCACCACCCCCATTGCGAGCCTGGCTGGGCTGCTTCCTCAGGGTGGGCGGTGTGCGAAGGGAGGGAGTGCGCCATGGCTAAGGTCCGCCTCCTCTGCCTGCATCCCACTCCTTCCTGGCCAGCCGGGCTGGGCACCAGATGGCCGGGGGCGTAGCTGGGAGCAGCAAAGCCCTTCGCAGCAGCCTCCAGCCTCGCCCCCGTCCCGGCTCCCTCCTGGCCGCACTGCCGCCCAGGCCGGGAGCAGCGCGGGCAGGTGTGAGTGGGACACGGATCCGGTGTGGCTGAGGGGAGGCGAGGTGTCCTCCCTCCACCTCCAGCCCAAACGGAAGCAGGTCCCCAGGGGCAGGCCCTTGGCGGGCGAGGTCTTTCTCCCTCCGGCCGGTGTGGGCAGCCAGCCTGGCAGCATGGACATGGCAGCAAAAGAGAGAAATAGATAAAGCGGGACCAGGAGGGGAGGGGGCAGCGGGACCGATGGAGAAAAGCAGAGGCAGGAGCAGCGGGAGGAAGCGGAACTGGCTGTTTCTAGGATCTGCTTCGCTCCCCCTTTGGCCCGGGCAGGCGCCTGGGTCCCCCCCCAGAGGATGGCCCTCAGCTTCTTCAGCCTTTCCTCCTTCCGTGGTGCTTTTCGAGTCCTTCCTAGGAGCTGGGCACGGCCCTTGATTCTGGAGAATCGGGTGGAACGGAAGCCGACGTGCCGCTCAGCCCTGGAGCCAGCGGCCAGTGGGGGAGGCCGCCTTGACCAGGAACCACCCCGCCAGCGCAGGGCCCTCCCGGGCGCCAGGGCTGTGGAGGCCGGGCGCCTGGTGCGAGGCTGTGGCAAGACCCCTGGGGCTTCCACAGGAGGGAAGCTCGGCTGCACCTTAGACTGAGCTGGACGGGAGCAGGTGGAGGCGGGAGGCCTGTGGGAGTGCGTGGTCCATGTGGGGGCCTGGGGGCACGCCAGGTCCAGGGAGGCGGGCTCCATGGCCAGTCTCGGACGCCAGGCAGGTTTCCAGGGCCTCCCTTGGGGGCTTTACCTGATGAGATTGGCGCAGGCGTGCCCTGGGCCGTGCCCGGCCGAGCCAGCCTGGATCGGGGAGCCCTGCACTGTAGGGCTCTGTGTGCTGGCCCCTGAGCCCGAGGCCAGGCAGCTGACAGGCGAAGCAGGTTGTGGCGAGTTTAGGAAAACCGGATGCTGGAGGGACCCGGACCCGCCTCTGCCTTCCCTTGTCCCGGGGCCACAGTGGGGTATGTACCTCCTATCGGGACCTGGCTAGTGACTCAGCCTGGCTGGCGGGCCCTCCCGGAACCTCTGGGTTGGGCACCAGCAGGGGGGGCTCATTTGTAAGCTGTTTCTTGGTGCTTCAACCGGCACCAAAATAGAAAAAAAGCATGACCGCAGCATCACGCCCCGCCAGTGCCAGGGGCCGCCACTGAACTCTGCTCTCCAGGGAGGCGGGCCTCCGGCGGCACTGCTGACGCAGGAAAGCGGGCCTGTGACGCCTGCACCCCCTCCTTGCCCGTGGGGCGGTGGGGAGCCTCACCCACCAGAAAGAGAGCCTGTGCCTGCTGAGGGCCTAGAGCTCCTGGCAGCCGTGGGGCGGCAGGGAGGAGGCACTGCCCGGAGTAGAAGCAGGTACCTGGGCAGCCTCCTCCGGGCCCACCCTCTGCGGTTAAAGGGCGGGGCGGCCAGCTTCAGCATCACGTCACGTCACGGGTGCCTGCGGGGAAGATTAGAAGCCGCCTGAGCTCTGCCCACGCCCCCTGCTGCCCAGAGCCAGAGGAGGGCGGCAGGAGGCACTGCAGACAGATCACCACCGGCCGCTCACTCGCTGTGGCGCTCACAGAGCCCGGCCTGGTCACCAGGCCTCGGTGGGCCGTGCCGCCTTAGCTGTCCTCCTGCCGGTTGAGCAGTTGAGTGAAGGAGCAGCTGAGAAAGGCCCTCGGAGCCCCCGAGCCCACAGGCTCTGCCCTTCTGACCGCAGGCCCTTGGCAGCGCGGGCCGTGCTCCCTGGGGACCTCCCTACAGGAGCTGCTTCCCCCCAGCTACCTCTTGGCCCACACACCACCCGAGCCTCTGGTCCCTGCGGCTGCCAGGCCCCTGCTGGGTGGTGGTGCCTGGGGGTCCAGGGAGGCCACCAGGGCTGAGGTGGCCGCCTGGCCTCCTGCTGGCAAGGCCAGTCCTGCGGGTCCCTGCTCTGCCTCTGGCTCTGAAGCCCTGAGGCTTGGCTGGCGGCTGCCATCTCCTGGCCACGTGCCAGGCCTGGTTCACGGACAGCAGACCTCCAGGAGGTTTCTGGTCCCTCCCATCTGGTGGGCGGCGGCTTGGGAGTGCCAAGGAGCTGCGGGCACTGTGTAGTTGAGGAAGACTCGCCACTGCTGGTCCCGGGGCCGGGGAGTCTACTGCAGGCCCAGCCGTGTGGACCCAGCGGAGAGCTCCATCCTCTGAGAATGGAGGGAGAGGCCAGCAAGCTCCTGGCGATCTGGGGGAGGCAGAGGGGAGTTTGTGGGTTCAGACAGCCCCCCAGCCAGTGTCCTCCCTGGGAGGCCCTGCGTGCGGGTGTCTGCCTGGGCCTGACCTGGCACGGGGAGGGTGTGGTCAGGCTCTGGGCACGAGTCACGGGCTGCCAGCCTTCCCTGGAGCTTCCGTTTAGGTGAGGCGCCTGTTGACAGCCTGGCTGACGGGCCGGAGGGAGGGCTCTGGGCGAGTGCTGGAGCCTTAGCACCTGCCACCCCTGCCCAGCCCCCTTCAGCCCCCAGGGAGGTCGCCCTGAGGTCCAGGACGAGAAGCCTCACCACTCAGACCCCTCTTCCCAGGAAGCCCCACCCCACGCGTGGAGACAGCAAAGCCGTGACTAGACCCGGGCTGCGGGGGGTTCACACTGAGCGGCCCAGAGAGGGCTCTGATCGGGACCCTCTCGGTCTGAGACCTGGGGCAGAGGGAGGGTGAGTGCAAAGCAAGCTCAGAGCACACTCGGCGGAAAGGGCCCCGCGCGCCTGGGTGAGGCGGCTGGGGAGGGCCAGGGGGAAGCATGGCCGCGGCAGGGGGTCGGAGCCCATGAGTATGTGCTCAGGCTTCTGTGTGGAGCTTTTAGAGGAAAAAGTATTATTGGCTCGTGTGACTGGACGTCCAAGGGCAGAGTCAAGACAGCTGAGTCCAGAGTGAAGGAGCCAGATCTGCACCTCTGTCTGGCTCACTTCGGACTGTGTCCCCCCGTGTCCCCCCGCGTCCCCTCCGTGTCCCCCCGTCCTGACCTCCAGGATGCGGAGAAAACGATCCTCTTGCTCCTTCACACGTGACAGGGCTCGGCTCCCCCTGGCCCTGTTGCCAAGGTCACATGCTCATCCCTGCACCACCATCTAAACCACTGATTGGTCAGCGAGAGTCACATGCCCACTGGACGCAGGGAGGGGTTGGTGACAGGTAGAAACTGCACGTCTGTCGCGTGAATAGCAACACGTGTCTTGTTGGCTCTGGAGGCACAGACCATCCCTTTTCTTCACCTGCCCGTCTTCCTGAGGGACAAAGGGCCAGCCCACCCGGCGGCCGCCCGCCTTGTACGCCTGTTTGCTCTCGGGAGTTCTCTGGCCTCCTGCCTCCTCGGCTGGACGGCCTCCTCCAGGACAGGGCCTGTGGACGCGAGGCCGCCCTCTCTCACCCGCTCTGTTAAGAATCTTCCTGCAAGTGCCCCTGAATGCCGGCTGCACCGGCTGCCAGGCCCACTCCCCTCCCTCCTGGCCGCTGCTGGGTCATGGCTGGAGGGAGCGGCCGGGGAAGAGGGGGTCCGTGGAGGCTGGGAGGACATCAGCCGGAGGACAGTGGTGTGGACTGGTGAGGTGGGATGGGGGTGCGCTGGTGCACTCAGGTCTGAGACACAGCCTGTGGGCAGTGGGGGACTGTCGGCGGGAGGGCCTGGCGGGCAGTGGTTGGGGGTTGTGGGTGGGATGGGGAGTGTGTGCCTGCCTCCGCTCTGCTTCCTGTGCCTGGCAGCTCCTAGCGGGCAGGTAGTGCCCTCTGCCCTGGAAGCCCGGGAGCCCCCTTCCCGCGGGGCTGGGAGCCCTGTGC